GCCAACTAGACAGACAGTGTATCACTCTTCCTCCTGTACATTAGCAGGTAAAAGGCATCACATACTTGAATGAATGGTAAATAAAGAATGCTGGAAATAACTGCATCTCCATTAGCCTGTATGCTCTGCAGAGACTGCCTTCTTCATGTCGTGAATTGCAGCTGATGTTTTAATATGGCAATTGGCAATTTGACTTATACAACATTCGCAAGTTGTACATTTGACTCATACATGGGCGTCGCAGCCATTATATGAGGGTGGGACAAGTCCCCCCCACTTTTTGAAATGATTAGTTTAGACCAGTGCTTGAATTGGAATGAAAAAGGTGCCAGTACTCTAAAATCAGCAACTTTTTCAAGTCAATTTTATATATACAGCCCACAAACAAGAATTTGGCTACTATAATGCTGGTGGGTTTGTCTCTTTACTACTGTATATTTTAGAAAGGTTCACTGTACTTAACATTTGTTATGATAGGCAGCGGATATGGCTAAAGCTCAGTAAGGTCAATATTAACTGAAAATATAGCAATCAAAGTCTAGATCTTCTGCTGAAGACACATGAAGCAGAGACCTTTCAGGTGAGAGCCCCTCTGGTGGTGTTCAACATTAATGACAAGGAAACAAAGCTCTGGTCAGAAGCATTTTTTATAAAAAGCTTTAACAAAATTAAGTATTTCTGTACATTTTGAATGCAATCTAACTTTCCAACTCAGAAAACGAAAAACGAAAAAGTGCCAAAAGTCTTCTCACATGGCTGAGCTGCTTTGCAATATACTTCACCACTGAAGAATACAAATATGTATAAAGTAAACTATGATGCAATCTAACTTTCCAACTCAGAAAAATGATAAAGAGCATGAACAAAGAACATGTAAAAACAAATGCAAAATTTGCACAATCTAAAATGAGAAACTGTAACTGCAAGTAACAAAGTCTGAGCCATGGTAAAGAGTTACATTGAACACCAAGCTGATCAGATAACTCCCTGGTTGGTCTGAAGTCCTTCTATCTCCAGGATCTGTACAAATCGGCACATTATGCCAAAAGTCTTCTCACTGGGTGAGCTGCTTTGCAATATACTTCACATTGTTAGAAAAGGCTCCAGAAGGCCTTGGGGACATCAGTATCAGGGGCTGGAGCTGGACAGGCTCTTTCATCAGCACTTCTTCTTCCCTTTGCCAGCCAGGACCTCACATACTGTTCCGGATTGAACTGTCCTAGTGATGGTCCATTACATTTAATGAAAACCAGGCTGGACAGTCGGCTGACAGAGAGAGCATTCCTTTTTGCAGTAAGGATATCGTTCATGCAGCTGAATGCCCGCTCACACTCACTAGTGGAGACAGCGATGGTTCGGACTGCTTTCAGTAGAGGCTCCATGGCAGCAGGTGTACGGGATGCCCTGGTTTCCTTGTATTCGCGAAAGCCCTGAACAGTCTCTCTTCTGTCCACTTTCAGCACTTCGCACAAACGTAGCACCTCTACGTCCCCATAATGTACGTCTAACTCCTCTTCAGGCCAACTTCCAGGATGGATAACTTTCATGTCCTGGATTAGCTGATTGTCCCGGGCCTCCCGGCCATGTAATGGGATTTCTCTTGTGCTGACATGAGAGGAGGTTGTGGAGGTCATTCTGTGTCTCAGATTCTCTACCATACTGCGGAAAAACTGACCTGCATGAATCTGTACAAGCCTGCCATTCTCACGCAGGGCAACACCCTTGAAGGACTTCTCAGCTAGAGCTGTATGAACTGTAGTCATGTGTGGGCCAGGCATGGTGACCATGGATTCAAAAACTCGTATTTCTCGAGTTAAGAGCCTATCTGCTGTAGGCAGTGTCATCTCTCTTTTTTGGAGTTGCCGAGAGAGGTCGCTGAGCTCTGTGAGCGCATCGTACATCAGTCCCAGATTGCTGACAAACGTTGCAGATGTGAGCACATCATCCAGGCCCTTGTACTTTGCTCTGTCTCTGGAATCCCTGCTCGTGTCGTTTGCAGCATTTGTGAAGTGATCATGAAGCACTCGGTAGTTTTCCCAGACTGCTCTGACGCTCCTTTCACTTGAAGCCACCCAGCGGATGGACAAAACACGCCCTATCACCAGGAGACGCTGTCCGACTGCTTGCGCACACTGCGCTAACTGCCTCTGATTTTTGGGGGAGGCATGGAACAAGGAATAGAGTTTGTCAAAAAAGATCTGGAAATGATTGAGCCCTGAGACCTCCTTGACCACATCCCCAACTGCCAGCTCTAGACGATGATTGGAGCAGTGCCACACAAACAGGCTTGGGAATTTACTACACAACTGGGTAGCAACGCCTGTTCTCTTCCCTAGCATGACTGAAGACCCATCACATGCAAAATAAACGAAACACTGACCTAAAAAGTCCTCGTTAAAATCTCTTCCAAGACACTCCATTAACGCCTTTGTGATGTCATCAGCCGTTGTTCCATCCAACTCGATCAGCTCCCAAAAAAACGTTTCGGGCTCAGCATCAGCTAATGCTGAGCGTAGACACACAACAAGCACCGTTTTACCACTAATAGTGGTAGATTCATCGACCAAAACACAGAGTTTTCTTTGGTTTTCTGTAATGTCTTTTGCCATTTTTTTCTTCAGCTCATGAGCTATGTGGTCGATGATTTCGCCACAGGTTTTATTGGAGTGCAAAACCCTGCCCACGTTCAGCCCATTCAGTTTCTGTACATTCAAATCAATTGGCATGTCTGTGAATGGCCGGCTATGTTTGCCAATTTTATATGCCGTTCGAAAAACTCTGATAGTGGTGTCTAATTCAGATTTATGCATAGACTGCACTTGATGTTGAATAGTTTCACGTGAAGCAGATGTAAGGATGTCAGCAGCTTTTACATGGGCTTGTGATTCTTTATGTTCTTTGATTTTTTTTTCTCAGGCTAGCTTGTTGTTTGCCCTTGTCAACACCGAAATGAGACACTGCACACTCACCCCATTCAGTTGACAGTTTCAGTCCTTGTCCAGTGTGTATTCCCAAAGATTTGACATCTCTGCATATCCGACATCCTAGCTTCTTATCTTTAAGAAGGAGCCATGCATTGGTCTTGCAAAAAATATTGCACCTGGTCCGTTGTCCAGCAGTCAGGTGCATCGCTTTGCCCGGTGTTGGTGGTGGCAGTTGCGCCAGCAGCAGCTAACGTTAGAGGCTCTGGAGGAGGCGGCGGAGCTAGTGCTAATGCTAATGCACTAGAACTTGGAGCAGGAGGGTCAACCAAAGAAAGCTCCCCATCAGACACAATTTCCAACACAGGCACAGCATTCTCTGTATTTGAAGTTTCTTCCGGCGACAACCGCTGTCTTTTTGCACTTTTATTAATCCACGCTAACATTTTAAGAAATGCTAATTTGTGACGTGACTTGCTTTCCTTCTCTCGGGGGCGTGCCTGCTCTGTTCTATCACTCTACATAGCCACCCACTGGGTGGGAGTTGCACTGCATAAACACAACACACGTGCATCTAGGTATGTAAATTGTAAAGCATTAAAACATGGTTTTACTAACAGTTTTCAGTATGTTGTTACTTCGGCATTATTATTATTATTATTATTATTATTATTTTGAAACGTGTATTACTATTAAATCACGGTCAAATAGGTTAATTTTGACATAGTCGTTTCCACCACAGTATTTACATGGAGAAGATAAGCCCCGCCCCCTCTCCAGCACGTTCTGTTTGAATGACAGGAGTAAACAGCTGACAGCCGCTGTGAAACTCCAGCGGTTAGAGCGATGAGAATGTCCGTTCGGCACCTCATGACGCATCTACTGAGTACCGGGCGGCTGTATATATATATATATGGATGTATAATAAGAACGGCGGGAGAGTGTTGAGTACTGGCACGGTGCATGAGTACCGGAGTACCGCCAGCATGCCGGTACTGAGCAAGAAGTGCCGGTACTTCCATGAGTCAGAACCAGAAGTGGCCGGTACTGCGTACCGGTGAGTACCGGCCCAATTCCAGCACTGGTTTAGACCCCCCCACTTCTACCATGCGGAAAGTCCGTGAATCCGTCTCTCCACTCGCCGCACTTTGTAGAGCGCTGTGTCAGTGCTTCATTATCAAATCCATTCCACTTGCTTATTGAGAGAATGCCCAAATCAATGAAACTCCGTACCATGTTTTCACTGCTACTTTGTACCAAGGCAGATTCTCACATAGCGCGCATGTTCAAGGAGTGTTGTCATAGTTGGACAGCTCAGATCTGTTGTATGAAGCGATGCCGGTAGCGGATGTAAGGCACACACACCAAGTGTTCAGGACATTGTTAATACAGTGAAAATCAAAGCTGACAATCTCTTGGTTTGATATGTTTTCTCCCCCAGACAACATGGACATAAGAACATTTGTTTCAAAGAAGAGGAAAGTAAGTCTTCAGCTGGTAGCAGTTAACAGTGATGGCGGCAGCGGCAAAAGCGTCTCACTTCTGGAGAGGATTTTCGTCTTTATGTCATGATTTATGTCACACAAATACTGAATAGTTTAGATGAGAAAAGGCATCGAAATGCCAGGTTACTAGTATTTATCATGTAAACAGGGAACATGACTAACCCGGTCTCTCTGTGCTCATGTAAACACCATGATGTCCATGTAGAGACGCAGTCAGTGTGTTTTACTGGAGCCTCAGTTCAATAAGAGATTATTTTCTGAGTTCTTTAACTTCGGTACTCTCTCTCAAAATGGTAATGTGCATTATGTTTTAATTATACTTCTTATCATTCAGAAGCTTTTTGTGTGTGTTTATGTTTTACTGAGTGCTTATAGGCAATTTCCATCCCAGTATTCAGTTAACTGTTTATTTTCTGTGCACATTACATAGACTAGCTAATATTCTACTTACTGCTTGGGACTTTGAGTCTTCAAAATGTCCAATTTACATTCAGTATGACTTGTTATGGTTCAATGTGAAAGAGTATACTGCTCAATAAATAATGATCACTTAACCACCTCTCTTGACATCTAGGTGCTTGAGTGTGAGTCAGAGGCAGAACACAGGGACAGTGGAGAGAGGTCCATTGCTGAGGTGAGTGATGAAAGGGAAATGACAGTTTAGAGTAAATTGTGATGTGGACTCTCATCCCAGAATGTTAAGGAAATCAGTGGGGATATTGAACAGGAAACATTTCAGTCAAGGGGCAAAATATGACCAATATAGACAGAAGAGCAACATTTATTTGAACATTTAAGTCGATACCATTCCTAGGTGAACTTAACATCTGTATGGTCAGATCAGTCTCAATATTAATAAATGCTCACAGAAGGATTCACAAATGTATTTTGCGATGTATATATAAATGACTCTCCACAACAATATCTCTTAATGCACTCACAAATATTTATTGTTGTATATAAATGTACAACAAATGGGCATTTAAACTGCTTTTTATTCATTCAAAGACGGCTCTGAATTAATAATCAAATATGTTTCCTTTCTTTACTACTGGATGAAATTACAAAATGTACCCATTTTCCTCATGCTAGTATAGCCACAAAGAAGTATCAAACCACCTGTTAAAATGCACCAGAATACAGGAAATCTATTTTTTTTTTTCGTGGGGGGCGATCCCCAAACCCCCCCCGTTAACATTCAGGATGCCTCCTACGCCCATGGACTCATACAATAACCCACCTTCGAGTGATAATCTAGTTTCTTCAAGTTTTGTTTTTTTTCCCTCTAGCTTGCGCCGGACTGAAACTGCCTTTTCACCGACATCTCTTCACCTGCACTAGTGGCCGTATCAAAGCCGTGATTGGTCCGATGTTGATTCATTGCAACGGTGTCGGGTTACAGACGTGCTCCCCTTGTCACCTCTCACTCTCGCGTGTCAGCCGAGGGTGCGCGGAGAACTGAGCAGAGAACTGCGCACAGCAGCTGAGGCCCTCTGGGCGGGGCCCCCTGCGCAAGGCGGGGCCCCATGCAGCCTGCGTGATTGGCCTGTAGGGAGGGGCGGCCCTGGCTACACTTGAGCTGAAGCTAAACGTTAAAACTGGCTTGATCAGATTAGTTTAGTCACCTTTTATGAAACCGATATTTCCTGAAAACCATCCTGCCCTACTGAAATAAGCCCAGTGCAAGTCACTATATCCCTCAATGAAACACACCCTGTGTGTGTGTGTGTGTGTGTGTGTGTGTGTGTGTGTGTGTGTGTGTGTGTGTGTGTGTGTGTGTGTGTGTGTGTGTGTGTGTGTGTGTGTGTGTGTGTGTGTGTGTGTGTGTGTGTGTGTGTGTGTGTGTGTGTGTGTGTGTTGTGTGTGTGTGTGTGTGTGTGTGTGTTGTGTGTGTGTGTGTGTGTGTGTGTGTGTGTGTGTGTGTGTGTGTGTGTGTGTGTGTGTGTTGTGTGTGTGTGTGTGTGTGTGTGTGTGTGTGTGTGTGTGTGTGTGTGTGTGTGTGTGTGTGTGTGTGTGTGTGTGTGTGTGTGTGTGTGTGTGTGTGTGTGTGTGTGTGTGTGTGTGTGTGTGTGTGTGTGTGTGTGTGTGTGTGTTGTGTGTGTGTGTGTGTGTGTGTGTGTGTGTGTGTGTGTGTGTGTGTGTGTGTGTGTGTGTGTGTGTGTGTGTGTGTGTGTTTTCTCCCTTTCAAGATAAAGGTCAACTCGGCGATCCCAAATACCTTGTTAGTCTCCTTATTATCCACACAATGGACACTGGATCAATGCTGCGAGTCAGTCTTGAAGCACTCACTATATCATGCTGTCATTTTTCCAGTCCAACTCCACAGTTATGTTCCCACAGTAGACTAATGAAGACAAACATGGTGTGTCCAAATGGCTTCCCAAAATATTAAATCTCCCCACAGCTACTTTTTTATTGCTTCAACTAGTTGTAAACGTATCCATGTCATTAAAGACTATACGGTAACTATATCCCTGATTCATTTGACTTGAAAACACAGGAAAAAAGTTCATTACAGTTAGGGCTGCACGATTTTGGGAAAAAATCTAATTGTGATTCTTCTGACAGATATTGCGATTCGATTTGCGATATTTGTTTTTAAGCGACCCAACGGAAGTTTATTGTAAAATGCGGCCATATCTCCGGCTAGGAAGGTCGCATCAACGTGCTCCCGTCTCTAGCACCCCCGCAGCCCGAGCTACGAGTGAAAGAACTAAACTTACATGAAACTTCCGTTGGGTTGCTTTAAAGTGAAGCTTCAGTTTAAGACTCACCCTGTAATAGAAACATGTGATGGAGCATTACTAACCTGACTCAGATGCTTTGTTTCACCAAAGCATCTAAAGCTCCATTGGAAGCCATTTGGAAAGGGCAGGCACTTTCAGAAGCACTTGGCAGGTGATTGGATCAATCTGTCTATCACCTTCTATCATGGGCCACTTCTGATTGGTTAATAATGGCTGGTACATGTGGAGCACAGCACTTCTGATTGGTGTGGATGACTGACACACAAGAAGAAGATATAAAAAAAAATTGTAAAAAAAGTTAAAATAAAATCGCAGGCTTTCAAATTTCGATTTAAAATTCGATTAATCGTTCAGCCCTAATTACAGTATATTCGAACCCAAGGCGTCATAAAAGACATTTTGTCCAAACACCAACTCTAAATTTAAACAAACGTCTTCAATCTAAGACAAATAAATGCTGAAAACTCTCAAATTTAAGAACCACATTTTATCTTGACATGTTGTTGGTTAAGTAATCTTATCAACCAACGAATCGCATCAACTCTAATTTTGTTCAACTCTAGGCATGACTTCCTTTCTTCCACCCACCAAATCCTGTTTATTGATGTGAGTGTTGAATACTGTCATCAAATCTTCAAGCTGTGAAGTGAGCAATGAATCTCCTCTAAGACTTGGCCGTCCTATCCATTTCTCAGACTCAAGCGCCTACACTCAGTTGAGATAACATGGATATTTCATGTGCGTCTAGTCTCTTGCTGGGTCCTGTTAATGGTCAACAGAGACTGCTTTACATCACAATCACCAAGGAAACGTAAGGCAAGCAAACACCGATCAGCACTTTTAGAGCAAACTGCACCTAATGTGAGGTACGTGTGAAAGAGCTTAGCAACGAAAGCACTGCAGTGTCAAGGTAGTGCATAAAAAAAATCTTGCCTCATGTGAAGGTAAACATCAACTAACTCCAGCTTGTGTATTTTGGCTGGGAAAAAGTCCCGTAGAGTTTATTTGCTGATCACATCTTTGCCATGAAAAGATTTCTGTCTTTTCCTCCAACACTCGACATTACTGTGGAGTCAGCTTTTACCTTTTTATGTCTCCGCTGTTTGGATTGCGCTCCCGTGTTTGTGGACACAAGAAACAACTGGACTCTCAGAGAGGGGGTTTAGCTTTGGCTCCTTCTTCCAACACGTGGTTGCTAACGGATTCTTGTGCCGGGCAAACGGAGACAGAAAACCTGCTACTCATCCTCAGCTGCTGGGTGTGTCTGTGTCTGAGCAGCAGGAAGTCATTTGGACAAATGGCTCTTTTATTGACTTGCCCACTACCGTAGCTGACTAGACTCTTCGATCTGCACATAGGGAAGTCGTCTTCTACTTTATCGGGTGATGGAAGGAGAATGGCTTTAAGGTTTTTAATCTAAATGTAGTGTATATGGTTTATGCTCCTAATTTCAATCGAGGCACAGTAGCAGTGGTCCTCTTCATTAGTTTTGAGTATCCACCCTTCACTTATTTATCTCCCTGTATGCATTATTTATCTGGACGTGTCTTTATCGCCCTATAGAGTGGGGAGCAGAATGATTCTTTAACACGGCCATGAGTCAGCAGTTTACTACTTGTGGTTCCCTCGTCTTGAAGTCAACGTTTTTTAGAATGCGTTTTTGGTTCAAAGCCCAGAAATAAGGTCTGGTTAAAACAAGCTGAAGACATAGCTACTTTTTGTTTAAAACCCCACTTACGTATTTCCGAAGAAAGTGACTTAATGACAGACTACCAATCGTCATCCCGCCGCACATTAGCAACCCATAGCTTTGTTGATATGCAGACGTGCTTCAGTTTGTTTATAGCCTAGCGTTGGCTTTTTACTTCTGGTGATTGTATCTATTCTTCAAAAATCATAACATTGTGTTGAGATTATGCTGCTGAACAAAACTTGCATCATAAACAAATCTTATTTTCTGCAATGATCCACAATGTAAAAATCCCATTGCTTTTTGTCGGAAGCCCTTACTTCTTGGTAGGCCCACACACACCCTTCATCACTGAATGTATGCTGCTTTTCTGCAAGCTTCCCAAATCTTTAGTCCCTGCAATCAACTGCCTTTCAAGCTCTTTGCTTTGCAGTTAATCAGGAAATACATGTTTTTTTTTCCTGCCTCTTTGTGAAGACTTGTGCTCCAAAGATTGTACAGATGCATGAATGCCTATGGAGTGTACACCTGGCCCTACTTGAGGTCACTGTGCATCCTGCTGCTCTTCTATCAATACACCGGACCACGTAAAAACAAGGCCGTTCTGCAGCAGCCTTCAGCGTGGGTAGGTGCATCTGAATCTGTTATGAATTTGGTGTGTGCATTTTGTTTAACAGTGAAAAAGCTCCAGTGTGGATTTCTTGTTACTTTAAACCAAGTCACGTTGTGTTAATGTATACAGAACTCTGCATAAAACGCTCTCTTAGAGGGAAGAGAGGAATGCTGTTGTGCATTTGCTGAGAGAGGGTTACAAGTGAGAGGAGGGCTTTCTCGTCTCCCAGGGGAGAAAGATGAGAGGGAGGGAGGCATGGAGACGTAGGTAGTGAGCGGGGGATGGTATCAGAACCAAGGAGATGGGACAAGAAGGAAGGTTAGGGTGGGGTAATGTATGATAACCCAGCTTATTGAATATTGAATATTGATTTCAAATAGCCACATTTAAATATTCTTGTGGGACAAACATACTGGCTTAAATCTAACCCTGAACATATTCGATGCTCGAGTCAAAAGCAGATATGTTTCATTTTTGTTGACATGACCTTTTTCCTTTTGTTCCACCCTCAAGAGACTATACATGTTTGTCCCTACTAGTGGCCTTTTAAGACAGACGTTGGCACTGTTTCATTTCAATGGGGT